TTTTTTCATTATTATTTCAAAATGTTCAAGTGTATAAGATGGTGTTCCTTTACTTTGATAATACACAGTAGTTTGTCTTGGTTCCAGATCAGGACAGCAATGTCTTAAACTCATGAGGGAGCAGAGAGAGTTGGTTTTTTTCTCAACCAGCCAGCTTGGTTAGTAATGAAAATGGCAGAATAGGGACTGGCTTACACATGAAGAAAAGGTAAAGAAAACAGTTAATACATGTGGGGAAATGTTTTTTTTATAATTTAAGAAGAGAATAAACTTGATTCATCGTTCATGGAAAGTGCACTTGTAACAAACCAATCAATGAAGATCACAGAATGTTACGAGTTGGAAGGGACCTTGAAAGCTCACCCAGTCCAACCCCTGCCAGAGCAGGATCACCCAGACCAGGTCACACAGGAACACGGCCAGGGGTTTTGAATGTCTCCAGAGAAGGAGACTCCACAACCTCTCTGGGCAGCCTGGTCAGGGCTCTGGCACCCTCACAGTAAATGAGTTTTTCCTCATGTTCAGGTTGAACCTCCTATGCTCCAGCTTGCTCCCATCGCCCCTTGTCCTGGCATTGGACATCACAGAGCAGAGCCTGGCTCCTTCCTCCTGACACTCACCCTTTACAAATTGATCCCCATGAATGAGGTCACCCCTCCGTCTCCTCTTCTCCAAGCTAAAGAGCCCCAGCTCCCTCAGCCGCTCCTCATCAGGAGATGCTCCACTCCCTCCATCATCTTTGTGGCTCTGCGCTGGACTCTTCCAGATTAAATGAAGAACAAGAGAATGTCTTGAAAAGTGTAGACATGGAGAAGTGAAAAATAGGAATAGGAAAAAAAAATAATTTCACATATGTTCTCATTTCCTTTTAGAAGTTATTGACTGAACATCTACATAGAAAGCAGAATGCAATATCATCAAAAAGGTTCTGAAGATTGTCTCATTTTTAGTTGTCTTTTTTTTCTTTTCTTTTAGAAGTAGAACTGAGCCCATCAATTGTAACTGAGTTTTAAGAGAGCTTTACATGTCTAAATCACTGGTTTCGATTTTTCAAGTGATAATCCATGCATGTACTTACAAAGTGAGAAAACAAACAATGCCTAATGCTTGAAACTGAAGTAGTTTTTTCTTTGCAGAATTCAAATAATCTCTTCACTCTTTTACTTACATCTGTCACCTTCAAGGCCATTTTTTGTTCCACAATTCATGTTGGTGTAACTGCAGGTGTGTGAAGTTTTTCAAAAGACTTGAAGGCTGTTTTATGATGCCACAGGAATTTCATTAGTTGGAGGTCATCAGTTTTGAAATTTTGAACTGCATTCAAACACTCATTCCAACACTGTCCAGTCCGTGGCAGCCAGCGGCACAGCTGTGTGAGAAGTCACCTCCCACCACCACGGGTATTACGAATGCTGCCTCTCTTGCTCCGTGTTGGGTTGGACCAGGAACTGGGCCATTCCTGTGTCTCTTCACAGCCCTGAGAATCCTCATGAGTCTTGGTGCCTGCATTCAGGTACTCAGAAGTGTTCATTTGGGAGATGGTGTGGACTTTGGTCTTCTTCCTCAGAACTAGCTGGAGACTCTACACTTGTTAATCATAGACAGATTGGCATCTCTACTCCCCCAGTAAAAGCCTCTGTGGTCCCACAGCAGTTACGTGTGTTTGAGTTCTTACACTTCACAGAAGTCCCTACAAACCTTACTTACGTACTGTACACAGTGTGCAGGTCACTCCCTTGTCCCCTGGTTTTCAGGCCAGGCGCTTTCTGCAGTGGTGGATATGTGCAGAAGGATGTTGGGTTTTTTAGCCTTTGCACCTCAAGGCTGTTTGCATGACCATATCTTGCTTTGTCTGGGGAGCACACAATTCTGGTTTTTTTGCTTGGGATCTTAATGTGGTAAGGAGCTAAAGTCCTAAATACGAATTAAGAGTTTAAATATTTCCTGAATCTGATGTGACTTATTTAAGGAGGCTGTAAAATTCATAGAATCACAGAATGTGTTGGGTTGGAAGGGACCTTTAAAGCTCATCCAGTCCAACCCCTGCAGTGAGCAGGGACACTGGTACCAGATCAGGTTGCTCACAGCCCCATCAAGCCTGGCCTTGAATATCTCCAGGGATGGGGCCTGCACCACCTCTCTGGGCAACCTGTGCCAGTGATCTACCACCCTCATGGTGAAGAGCTTTTTCCTAATATCCAATCTGAATCTCCCCTTTTCTAGTTTAAAACCATTACCCCTTGTCCCATCGCTACATGCCCTGGTGAACAGCTCTTCCCCAGGTTTCTGATAGGCACCTTTCAGGAACTGGAAGGCCGCAGTAAGGTCCTGCTGGAGCCTTCTCTTCTCCAGACTGAACAGCCCCAACTCTCTCAGCCTGTCTTCATAGGAGATTGCTCATGACCAGATGTTTCATTAGCTACATAAAGGCATTGTAAAATTTTGTGGTTAGTTTATCATGTGCACTAAATTTTCATACTTCTGTTCCAGTATATTTATAGTCAAATGTTTTTGAAATTACTGTTTAAAGGTTATTGTTAGTGTGAAGCAGGCCTAATGCTGTTCCTTTTTTTTTTTTCTCCTGTACTTGATAACCACATGATGTGAACATCAAGACTGCTTTCTCATTTAAATAGTAGGTAAACACAAAGTAATTAGTTTACCTTCTTTCAGGAAATGAACAATAAGCTCTTCCTGGACACTTTGAGGGAAATAATGAGTAGATAACCATTACCTAGTAGATTTTTTTTTTAAAATATAACTTCCACCTGTTCCCCAGAGTACTAGAACATATAAATGACTGGACATTTTTTAAGCATTCTGTATTTTTTGTTGAACTAGAAGGATGCTGCTACTGGGGACTTACTAAAACAGCATTTTTTGGAAGCTCACCGTGGGATGGGAGTTTAAAATCTCAGTGAGTAGGAACCAAAGCATGAATACAACATTGTCTTGTACTGATAGGAGTGTCTCATTGAATATGCTACCTGTTTCATTTGAGAACAGCCTTAAGCTTGGTTCCTATGGATTTTTCAGTATTATTCTTTTCTTCCCTTTTTCTTCTTTCCTTCTCCTTTCTTTCTCTTCCTATTTTTTTCCCCTTCAACAAGAGAATCAGTGAACATACACATGTTCTTTTGCACTTAGTTCTTGCTTTGCTTCTTTTCCCTCCTGGCAGTACATCCTCATGAGCAATTTTCATGTTGTCCTGTGGGATTAAGAACAGGAACAAAATATCCACATAGTGAAGCAGTAGATGGATGCCCTAGAAGGGTTTATTTTCCTTAAACAGCACCAAAACCAACTTTCTTTTTTTTTTTCTTCTGGAATGTGTTTTTCCCAAAACCATAGGGAGAGAAGACATGAAAGATTGATGCCTGTTGTTAGTCAGACCATGGGAAGAGTGCTTTGCCTCTGTGCTTGCTTACCAAGTTTAGGTATGCGAGGCATTTGGGAACCATGTTGATATATAAAATGCGAAGCTGACCTTACAGACCCGGCTTTTCCTACCTCCTGGAAGCATCAGTTGATTT